GGCTGTGGGAGCGCACGTGCTCCGTTGCATTTTTTTGGAACCGATCGAATACCTAAAGGGCTTTGTTGTTTGTTTAGATATATTTTTATTATTATTCCACTCAAACCTTTGGTAAGTAGACGGAATATTACAAAATAAAAATGGTGTAGTGTCGGATAAAAAATTAATATTATTAAATGGTATTGTCGTGCAGAAAGTGCAGAGGAAGTCGTTGGTCGATTTATATTTTCATACCCCGACGAACCAGTCCCCAATGCTAGAACTGTTTTGAATATTTTTCATAAGTTTGAGGAGTACGAAATGTAGCAATCAGGAACCTTGTCAAATTCCTGAAGCAAGGAGAGAAAAAGTGAACCGTGTTCTTCTTCCCAAATTTCGAAGAACTTGACATTCCAAGTCGTACAGTTCGTCGCATCCTAAAAAAGAATGGTTTCAAAGCCTATAAAACGCAAACTTCTCGAGAAATTATTTCTGGTGATCAAATAAGGCGTATGGAGTTTTGTGAATCCATTAGGGAAAAAATAGATGAAAATAATGAATTTACTAGGCAGATTTTATTTACAGACGAATCATCTTTTCCCTACTTGGCTGTCATAATCCTTCAGTGGTCTAATATTGGTCCAGGGAAAACGAGCATTTAAGTATACCATTAAAAACGCAGTACCCTCAAAAGGTAAATGTTTGGGCTAGCATTTTAGGTGATAATATTGTGGATTCCTTTTTTATTGATGGTAACTGAAATGCTGAGAGATATTTACATTTATTACAAAATAGTGTTGTACCTGCTGTACGAAACTTGGATGTAAATTTTGAGGAAATTTGATTTCAGCAAGACGAATGTCCTGCACACAATGCAAGGCCAGTTCAAGATTATTTGGAACAAACTTTTCCTGAAAAGCTTATTTCCACAAGAGGTATGATATCTTGGTCTCCTCGATCTCCAGATCTGACACCCTGCGACTTCTTTTTATGGGGTAATTTAACGCAACTTCTCTACAAACATCGACATGAAAGAGCCGCAAATTTGGACGAATTACGGCTTAAAATTATAAATATTTTAGGATCAGTTACTCCTGAAATTTTGTCAAATGTTCGTCAAGAATTTTACGACAGATTAGGGTATTGTGAAGCTCAAGCAGGTGGTTTGTTTGAACACCTTATTAATTAATAATAAGCTTTATTTAATAAGCATTTGAAAATAATTCATTATTTTGTATTAAGGATTACCACTCATTTTATTTTAGAATACCGTTTTAGTTTTTACTAAAGGTTATAAATAATTTGTAATAAAGTTAGAATGCTTTAGTATAGTTTCAAAACCTCTTATCATTCAAAAATATCGTACAAATAGGGTAATTACTGTACGTATGGCAACACTGCTGTCAATTCCAGGCCGTGGCTTATACTCTTTATGCCATAGCGATAAATCAAAAACGTAATTATTGTCCAGTATTCTATATTCCGTATGTACATATCTTAGACGTACGTTGTTCCCAAATTCCTAATGCAAGACAGAGACAATAAACCAATAGCCAAGGAGAGCTTAGAACCGCAGGCTTTGCGTACTTCTTATGGCATTTTTTTATTCCCTTATATCGATGGCATAAAGTTATGCAAATGATATGGGGGCGGAGTCAGAATTATTAGGGGAGACTGGTGAAATATTTATATAATTTACTAACTTTGTATCGGAAATAAAAATATAGCCAGACCAGTATATATCATCGATGGAAAAAAACAGGAAAAAAATTGGCAATACAGTTGATTATAACCGTTAGGATCATTACACTGATCATTGTCCAAGAAAACTTCATTTGGTTTAAGCGAACAACACTGTTTACTTTGAACGAATTATTATAAACGAAACAGAAGCCATATTTCGGGATCTAGACTGGAAAATGACTATTAAAGTCGCGTGAAGTCGAAATATATTAACTATTTCGCGTGAAAAGCGGAGACTTCCAATGCACACCCAAGTATGTAACGCGATTTCACCCGCCCGATAAATCAAATTTACGAGGATCGATGCCGCGCTCAGGAAATCGTCAACTGCGGAAAGAGAAATATATTTCATTTGTTTTTAAGTTTCTTTTCCGACAAAAGGTCGGTCTTGTTTTATCGCTACAAGTGTGGTTCGCGGCCCATAAAACTTTGTCGGCATTTGTCGGAAAACTGTTATTTTCTTTCTCATAAAACTCTCATTGCCGACGATTTCCACTAGCTTTCCGGCTAAGTTTCCCAACTTCGCTCGTCCCCATTTGAATAAAAATCCACTTTGCCAGTTAACCCCCCTCTAATTGCACCGAAAATTTTGCGCTTGCAGCGTGGACTTGCTTAATGAATACAAGAATGAATAACGACTATCATGAAACATAACGATGAATGTAACTGCTAAAAAATAATGTCTAAATTTTAGTCAGAAGCATTTCAGATTAAGTGGCATGTTAAGTGGTGTAGTTGTTCGATCTCAATTGGAACAGCATAAAAACATTTAACTCATAAATTCTACGGAATCCATAGACGTCCAGAAAAATTTTGCCCTGTCTCGTCTAGATATACTATATTCCGAGCTATATTACCATATAATTACCATACGATTGTCAAGTTTTTTATGTTTCAAATCGCATTGTAATAAAGCATGTCGTAAAATATCTAAAGATTTATAATTATAATCAAGATAATCGCTTAATTTATCTCGAATCATGATTAAGGGAGGAACTTTATTTTCTTTTTACATATTATACATTGTACGTCATATTACATCTCTGGTAAAATCGTCAATTTTCTTTAATTTTGTATTTTTCCGTTTCCTCTTTGTACCATGATCAATCCTTCTTTAATTACGGGATAAATTGTCGTTTTTGATATCTTAGTTAATTCGTTAATCCGTTTAATAACTTTTTTATCACATTGTTCACTATTTTCAATTTTCAAACATTCATATACAGTGTAGGAAAGTACCGATGGTCTATCAGAAGTTACGTGAGAGCGATAAAGTAATAAGAAGTGGATCTTATTTGTGGAAGGGCGAAATGGGCGTTGAATTAGAATGAGGAGTAGAGATATTATTATATCCACTTCTTATTTGTGGAAGGGCGAAATGGGCGTTGACTATTAGACGCCTTCATTATAGCCATCCTTGTCTATCACATGGATTTCTATGGCTTACTTTATCGCTCTCACGTAACTTCTGATAGACCATCAGTACTTTCCTACACTGTATATTTAATATAATACGTAGACTTTTTACGTGTAAATCTTTCTTTTTAAATTCCGAGTTTGTTTCGATACTTTCGTCAAAAACCGGTTCCACTATTTGGGGATTTTCCCGAGATATTTCGTTATTCTCCGCTTCAAAGAGTCTCCAGAGAGCCACGATAAATTACTAGATAATTACATATAACATTATTTTAATAACTATTACCCTTTACTGGTTACGATATGAACAAATAATAATATCAACTAATAAATAATTATACCAACAACATACTCCGCCAAGCAATGCTCTGCATTGCACTGGCAAAGCGGCAAAGCTCCGTGTACCATACAAAAAAATTATTTACGATCTAGTGGACCAATACAGGTTTGCTTTGATGACCAGCGCGCCGCCGTCAATTCTACATCAGGCGGACTAGTTTACCAATACTGGACTTGCCGAATTGCTATTCGAGTATAAATTACGAGACACATCATGGTCAAAGCATAGGAAGAAATTTCAGGAGAAGTGCATACGGTCCTGTGCTTTAAGATTTACAGATTCCAATTGACATCGTAACAACTATACTTTTGGTTGTTTAATTTAAAAAATAATATTTTGGATTCTACAGCATCATTTTGAGTATCGAAGAAAAATTGATTAAAAATTTATGTTACATGCAACAAAAAATTCCATTCTAAATTACGAATTTATAAATAACTTAAAAAAATAAAGGTAATGAAAACCAGTAAAACAGGACAAGAAAATAAAAAGACAATGTTTCACCAAAGGTCATTCTCTAATTGCAAATAAAAACTATTTATTGAATTTGGAGTATAATTATGACCTAATAAAAAATAAATTAATTAAAAATAAAACTTCAAAAAAAAAACAAGAAAAATAGTAACTTAAAAAATAAAGGTAAGAAAAATCAGTAAAACAGGACGACAAGAAAATAAGAAAACAATGTTTCATCAAAGATCATTCCCTAATTGCAAATAAAAATTATTTTTGTCCAATTATTTCCCTAAAGATATTGTCTGGAGTTTTGTGGCATAGTTCTCGTTTTTTTTTCTTTATTCTTTGGGTATTTTGTCACCTGTGGATAAATTTTAAAAAATTATGAAATAAAAAATGGAAAGAAACTAAATCGAAATGTCAGAATAAGTTCAGAAGACGAAAACAGAAACATTTTCAAAAGTAACCAAGTAACCAGTGAGGTCTTGGTTAGGGAAAACTATTTTCATAAAAATAACCTGTCTGATCCTTTTGCCACAACTTTTTTTTAATATTTCCCTAAAAATACCCTATTTATATTTTAATAGTATAAGAAACGTTTTTTATTTTTTTATGAAATAAAGTAATTACCAAAAATTGTTTTGAAATCATATGCATTTTTATAAACTAAATTTATAGCATCCATCATAATTTTTAGATCAATTGTGATTACCTTTTCTAATTTCTTACTCAAACAGTTAAAACGTAAGCTCAAGAAAAACTCGGAACAATATTCATCCATGCGCTCCCAGACTGATACTGTATGGCCAAAATGGATTTCGGAGAAAAATCAACATTTTATGACAATTTTCGGACATAACAATTTTCAGGGCTCACCCTTAAGTAGCCCTTTGAAAAGGCAGTTCTCCATCTATAATACATATAGTTTTATTTTTACTGGTATACTATTACCATCTAATATGGAGACTATCTCAATAACATAATTTGGATTCTCTAAATTTCCGACAAGCTCGCATCTCTTCCAACTCAAAAACTCCGGGATACCTAAACTAATAAGCCTACTCACCGCTGTTCGACTTGACGTCATCGGGTCTGTGCAGGTCCGGCTTCGATGCCAGCATGGATAGGGGGTGTTGGGCGGGCAGGGGGCCCGAGAGGCCCAGGAGACTTGCCGCCGAGCTGGGCGGAGCGCCGCCCAGCGGATGGGGGATCATGGGTATCGGGGGCGCCGCGTGTGTCGGCAGCTGTTGGGCGTGCATCTGTTGCAGTAGCCTCGGGAGGTCCGGCCTTTGTTGCTGCAAACAAAGGAAAAATGTTTGGTGTGTTAGGAGGAAAGTTAAAAATGACTGTACAGTAGCGGATAATAAAAATACTCCCACTTAAAATTAATTGTAAAAATATTTATATAAGATTCTTCGAATTGGCTAAAGAATCCTTCAAAAGCATCAAAACAGCTATAAAATAAGTCAGCGTACACAAGGAAACATTAAAATCCATCTAAATAGCTTCAAATTAATAAGATACGTCAAAACCTGTTTGTTTTAAAATAGTCAAAAACACGACAGAATATACAAAAACATTTTCAATGATACAATTTAAACTTTTTCAATCTTTCAAAAAACACAAGAAACAATACGTAGGTTATCAATATTTTACACCACACGTAAACAAATTACGATTAATAAAAAAAAGCGGTGAACAGCTATTATCTAGTTACGAACGGACTAAACAGAGCTCAAACTGCATAGTAAATATGCGCTACTACCAGTCCTTATTTTACTGCTGCGCGAAGGTAACCATGACCGCCGCTGTAAACACTTGACAGATTTAGGGGAGCTACGAGTAGTCCACGTATTCAGTGTTTTTCAAATGAATTTTGCAAGTCGAGTTATAGTCCAGGGAACGAAGAAAAAATAGGGCAAAACCTCCGAATACTTTCGAATAGATCCGATTTTTATGAAAATTTGGAATTGAGCTTATTTCACCCTGTATATGAAAAGTTATATATGCTTGATATGAGCTTCTTATTTTTAGCAGATGAAACCACCCCTTATGCTAAAAAACTGAATAAATATAAAAATAGGTGTTATACAGGTATAGACTAAAATCATATCTTAATACATAGAATAAATATTGTTTTGTATTGTGGGTTATAATTTACGTTATTTTTATAAAGCTTCAACACTTAAAAAGCACCCTTAATGATAAAAATATAAAATTAGTAGTTTCTTTGACCTTAAAATAATTTTATAGCGCATATATTATAGATAGAAATCTTTTCAATAGTTTATGGTATTATAAATAATTTATTGCAATATTTCAATTCTTAAAAAACTTCAGTTTGAAATCATTTGATAGTACAGACAAGATAAATTAAATTCTTTTGCCTGTTTATAATAAATTTATAATTTATTGTATTATTTTAACCCTTAAAAACCACCCCCAATGACAAAATATAAAAAATGGCTTTTAACTATTTAAAATGAATTATATAGTTTTTTTCGTAATGAATTTCTTTCTCTCGATTTACTTTAATGTATGCAATATTTAAAATAATATTTCTCAATATTTTATTCATGCGGAAAGTCATAATTTCCATATATTATTTTATTATGAATGCTCGGAAGTTGTGGATAATCAAAATATTGATATGCTCCGAAAATTGAAGCGACAAGGTACCGTTGGTTTTTTAACGATAACTTCCTTAATTGCAAAACTATGAAGACGATCCAAAACCGATTTTATNTTTTTGAAGCTAATACGCGGATGTTATTAGATTACACTGCACGTTTTCGACCCATAAACATCAACCGAACAACGGTTGATGATACCGCCTCCGAGATTCATTATAATCGGCAACTCTCTGTCGGGCGCGTTAATAATTTACCCGGTAATCACGAAGGAGCCCGCGACGCGGCTAATACAATAATCCGTCACGTTCCCAGCCCGAGGGAAGAGAAAAAAAACACTCGCGAGCTGCAAATGTAGTGTAAACACAACTCCAACTTTAAATTGAGCAGAATGGATCTGAGACACGTGACGAGAAGTTATATTTTTATCGGGGGGAGAGAAAACCAACCGACCAGCTGGCTCGTCGCGACGCCCTTCTCGAAAGACGCCGAGAGCTGCGCTGCTCCGCTGTGGCAGCCATTATTTAAAATTCTTATTGCTGAAAGTCTGTAAATTGATTTCTTCGGTTCTCCCCCGAACGACGGTAGCACGGCTCTGATGGATTTCATTATAATTGCATTTTTCCAGCGCGGCCCTTAATTAAGCGGAAGCAGTTTCCTTTTATTTTCGCGCCCCGCTTCCGTCGCGTACGGATGAATAAGTAATAGCAGGCGTTATTTGCCAACGACGGAACTTTAATTCAATTAGCAGTCACCGTTCCGTAATAAGATTATTAAACTAATTCAATTTAACAGTTGTGTTGTTAACACTTATTTACTGACGTGTTAACTGATTTAATACCCTTGTCGCTGCATTACGTTTGATTCCGCCTTCCCGTTGGCACCGCGTGTGTGTCGGAGACATTTGCTCGCTTCCCGGTAAGCCGATTAACGCTATAAGCCCGTGTTATTTTTTGCGCGGATCACGGCCGCCACTGGGAGAGAACTTTTCGATGACGCGATGAGTCTGAAGAACTCCAAGCGTTCCTTATACGATAACAAAAAGTACCTTACAACTCAAACATTCATAACATTATATATATTTGCTTTAATTATACATAATTTTTTACTGGGATGATGAAATAAAACTCCTCGATGTAGCTGAAAATATAAAGAACTTTACCGGCAACAAAAAATATCTGATCATTCAATCACTTATAACATTATCATATTTAAACTTATTCTATAACACACAATTTTCTACAGCTACGACTAAAGAACTTGGGCTAATTTTCGGTGACTTGGAGGTGTAAAGAACTTTAGACGCTACTTATACATACTTTATCAAAATACATCTAATAGTTCAATAATGTACAGTATTACCACATTTGCTTTATTCGGTGACGACTTTTTACGGTCATTTCTAATGTATAAAGAACATTAAGTGCCACATATAGGGCAGAAAAAATAACGTAATAGTTCAATCGCTATTATCATATTTGTGCTTGACTATAAAGCATTTTCTACAGCGACGACTAAAAAAAGAACTCCGTAACCTAAGGGGTGTAAAGAACTTTAGACACTACTTATATGGTAACCAGAATATAACAGTTCAATCAGTTGTTTTATTCCACAACACTGAAAAAGAACTTCTGGGTAACAAAAAATTTGGAACAGTTCAATAAACTGTATTAGATAGTTGCTTTATTTTATAGTTCTCGTGACTTGAGAAGTATAAAGAACTTTAGGGCGCTATTTATATGTATTTTAAAAACTAATAATGTAAAATCTTATCATATTTGCTTTATTCGACACCTAGACACTACTTATACTGTAATAAAAAAATATCTAATAGTTCAATCTTTTACAGTGCTATTATATTTGCGCTTTATTATGCGCCATTATTTACCTTCTGGACTGAAAAGGAACCCCTCGATGAAACAAATTAGGCGTTATCAAATATGATAACAAAATGTATTTAACATTACTTCACACGATTGAAAAAGAACTTCTTGTTGGCTTGGAGAGTATAATGAACTTTAGGCGCTACTTATACAATAACAAAAATATACATAGCAGTACAATCACACATAATATTACCATATTTGCATTTTAATACACACCATTTTTGTACCGGCCTTCTGAAAACGAACTCCTCGATAACCTCGACAGTATAAAGAACTGTAGGCGCTACTTATACAGCAACAAAAAACATTCAAAGGCACAATCACTTGTAGTGCCATATTTGCGCTTTATTACAAACCATTTTTTAACGAGGTAAATCAAAAAGAACTTCTCGACGACTTTAAGAGTATAAAGAACTTTAGACGCTAGACGCTACAAAAAAAATATATCAAATAGTTCAATCGCTTAAATATTATCATACTTGCGCTTCATTATACACCATTTTCTACCGCGTCTGCTAAAAAAGAAGTTCAAAGTGACTTTAGTATATAAAGAACTTTAGGCGCTAATTATACTTAACAGTGTAATCATTCATATTTCCGCTACATTTAACTCGAAGACAAAATTACTTCTCGACGACTAATATAAGAACTTCAGAAGCTAGTTATAAAAATAATAGTTCAATGACTTAAGTATTCTTATATTTGCGCTTTATTATACATAATTTTTTACCGCAACCACTGAAAAAGGACTTCTCAGTAACTTTGGGAGTTTAAAGATGCTACTTCTACTTTAACAAAAATATGTTACAGCAATCATTTGTGGTATTATGATATTTGTTTAATTCTACATCATTTTTTACCCCGACGTGACGATGGAAAAATTACTTCTTGATGACTTGGAAGGTATAAAGAACTTGGCGCGCGATTTATATTTTATTTACAAATTATACATGTCAGTGTATTAACATATCGGCTTTATCTCACATTATTTTATACAGTGACGATTGCAAAAGAACTTCTCGGTCACATATGGGTTATAAAGAACTTTAAGCGCTACTTATACGACAACAAAATATATTTACTAGTTCAATATTACCATATTTTGGTTTCGTATTTCTGTTCTCGACTCACTAGCGACGAATGCTTCGATAATATAAGGATTTACATATATCTACCGATTTTTGTAGGATACGGAGTTCATTCCACAATTTTCGAATGTGGCGTACGTTTTCCCGTTTTATTCGGTTCAAGGTTTTTTTCTAGATACAAATGCCGTGCATGACGCGGTCGTCCGAGCAGATATGAATACCGCGACTTGAATCGAATGCGTCTTCAAATATTCCTGCAACATCCCCGTTCCATTCCGAAGGCCTCCAGTCAGACTTTATCAGAACTTACCGTGACAAAGGCAAGAAAGCGAGGCGGCGGCGGCGGCGACGGCGGCCACATTTTTAGGGACCCTAACCGCTTTATCCGGCAGATTGCTAGGCCAGTCACCCGCAAAGCAGAGAGTGAGCGGATAAGCCGATTCCTGATCCCTCCTGAATGTCACATCCGCGCGCGTGTGTGTGCAGACTTAGCAGATACCCTGACAGACCGGCGGGGCGTCAAATCGGCACGTAGATGCATTATTAGGGGTTTTATACGGGTTCGGAAAAAGACGGGGAGAAGTAATGTATCGACGTGCATTCATTTGAGATATGGCCGGAACATGAGGATGGCGCCGAGTTTTTTTTTATTAAAGCAATGCGCAAAAGAATGTTTTAGAAGGTAAATAGT